TCACCAGCTCCAATGCTGCTCCCCCAGCAGACCACAGCAGAGAACAGTGCACTGGCCACAACAGACTGATAGAAGATCTCCAACATCTTGCTGCACACGTTGAAGGCTCTCAGCTTCCTCAGAAAGTGGAGTCGGCTCATCCCCTTCTTGTACACAGCCTGAGTATTGGCCTTCCAGTTCAGTTTGTTGTCTATGTTGACATCCAGGTACTTGTACTCCTCCACCACAGACACATCCTCTCCCAGGATGCACAGCGGTGGTGGCTCTGTCCTCTTCCTTATGAAGTCGATCACCATCTCCCTGGTCTTATCCACGTTCAGAATCAGGTGATTTCTTCCTGTCCACTCCACAAAGTTATCCACCAGCTCTCTGTACTCCCCCTCTTGCCCATTATTTATACACCCCACCACCGCAGAGTCATCAGAAAACTTCTGCAAGTGGCATGACCTGGAGTTGTATTTAAAGTCAGAGGTGTCCAAGGTGAAAAGGAAAGGAGACAGCACAGTCCCCTGTGGAGCTCCTGTACTACTCTCCACCATTCCAGACTGAACACTGCCAAGTCAGACAAACTGTGGTCTGTCTGTCAGGTAGTCAGTAATCCAGGAGGTGATGGACGAGTCCACACCCATCAACCGCAGCTTCTCTTCCAGCAATTGTGGCTGCATGGTGTGGAATGCACTGGAGAAATCAAAAAAAGTGATTCTCACAGTGCAGCCGTTTCCCTCCAGATGTGAGTGAGCACGCTGCAGCAGGTAGATGATGGCATCGTCCACTCCCAGGTGTGGCTGGTAGGCAAATTGTAGAGAGGGAGACAGGGAGGTGTGAAGGACAGGGGTGTTGTTTGAGGTGGGAGAGGCAGATGAAGGCTGTGCACTAAACCGGTTGAAGAACAGGTTTAGCTGATTCGCCCTCTCCAGGCTGCCAGAGTGTTGTCTTTCTCTCCCTTTGAAACCAGTGATTTCCGTCATTCCAGTCCACACATCCCTCACGTTGTTCTGATGGAGTTTGGCCTCCAGCTTTCTCCTGTATGAGTCCTTGCATTCCCTCAGCTTTTCCCTCAGATCGTGCTGTATCCTTTTCAGGGTTTGTTGTTAGGAAAACAGCGTACGGTCCGGGCCAGCAAAGCACTGTTTTAACAGAATTTAATGTATTCTGTGATGCAGTCAGTCATGCTGTTAATGTCCTCTCCATGTGGCTCGCAGAGTACATCCCAGTCTGTGGACTCAAAGCAGTCCTGCAGTGCCTCATTGCTCTCCTGTGTCCACCTCCTAACTGTCCTTGTGGTCACAGGCTGCCTTTGGACCAGGGGGATATACTCTGGTGTCAGTAGGACCAGGTTGTGGTCTGATCTGCCCAGGGGAGGAAGGGCAGTGGTACTGTATGCTTCCTTAACGTTAGCATACAGAAGGTCCAGTGTTTTATTTTCTCTAGTTGGACAGTTAACATATTGATGAAAAGTGGGTAGTGTTTTGTCCATTTTTACATGATTAAGTCCCCGGTAATGGCTACAAAAGCATTTGGATGCTTAGTTTGAAGCTGTGAAACAGTTGAGTGAATGGCATCACTCGCAGACTCGGCATCAGCTGATGGTGGGATGTAAACAGCTATAACAATGGCGTACGTGAATTCCCTGGGCAGGTAATATGGGCGCATTCCCACAGCGAACAGTTCAATGTCCGGGCTGCAGAGACGTTCCTTCACACTAACATGGCCAGGATTACACCATCTCTCACTCACATACAGTGCAATCCCTCCACCTTTCTTTTTACCGCTCCTAATAACATCCCTGTCTGCCCGAAAAGTTCTGAAGCCGGGTACCGCCCAAGGGGCAACCTCCGGTCTCGAAAAATGAAGCCAATGCGGAAGTACAAAAAACTGCAGTTCCTCGAGGTTCCGCTTGAGGCTGGCTGCAGAAGCGCCGGAAGTGCCATAAGCCCACAGCCAAAAAAGCCCGTTTTTACCACAGGAATCAACATGTTTACAGCCTGGTTCAAAAAACGAGATATATCTGAGAAGTTGACGGCCCCTTCTCCTCACACTGTGGGGGGGGGGGAATGTTTTTATAACTCATCCTCTTTTTTACTTCATTTGGAGAGTTTGTTTAACACATATCTGACAACATACATGGCTTGCTGTGCGGTTAACAGACCGTACAACAAGTTGATGCTTCAGTTTTTTTCGGTAAGTGATATAGTAGTGTTATATTTACTGTATACTTGTGTGTCGGTATTTATATTTACGGACCTAGCTTGTTTAGAGTTAGCTTGTAAACCAGTCGGCTAACTGTGTAGCTCATTATTTACAGTCAATGGTTTAGAAATGTTTGTTGTTAAGATGTTGTTGTTGAAAATAATGAGTTTGTGTGATGTTAGAGGCTAAAGGTTCACCTCGGTGGTTAACCACAGACTGTAAATATGGTTATCTGATGTTATGATTAATGTTATACTCCACATAAATGTGGACATTAAAAAACAAACTTTGTGTAGTAATTATACATCAGTAACATAAATTTAACTGAACCTAATCTGCTGTGTAGGTTATAGAGGATGACATTAAAGTTACATGGTTGATGTAGTGTCTTAAGAGTGGGGACCTGTTAATGATTTAAATAATTCAGGTTATATTTGTTTCATGTAGATGAAGTACTATCCACAATAAATTGCTTAATTTTTCCTCACACAAAATCTGAGACAATTTGATGTGGAATATCATTGTGTGAGTGAGAGAGCTGAAAACAGCATGATTACAATAATGTTTATCTTCTTAACTTTGAATAGATGTTGATTACCTGAATACTGTACCTTTGTTGTCTGGGTAGTACACTGTTGAATTTATAAATGTGTTCTTGCACAGAAACAGATACATACAGAAAAATAGATGAGAACAAAAAAAAATGATTTAATGAATAACTGATATTTTCTCTCTTTCTTTTCCATCCTGAAGACCCCTCACTAAAAGTCCATGTTCTCCTGGATCCATGTCACATGCTCGAGCTTCTTCAGAATGACTTTTCAACGGTCGAAGTTCTGCTGAGAGAAGATGGCCAGCAGACAGGACAGCAGTACATCAAGGAGCTCCACAAGCTTCAGGAGGAGGAGGAGGGTTTGCTCCTTGGAAACTGTATTCATGCTGTTCAAATAAAATTAGAACTCCTCCAAACAACTTGCAATCAAACCATTTTCTTCCCATTTTAAAACCCTTTGTCCAGTTTAGATGGGAGAAGTTGATATTATGTGATATTGATCTGGGAAGACTACATTTCTAAATCATTTTTAACTGTGTTTTTATTCACAAGTTATTGATCTTATTTACGCTCCATGTATCTTGATTTAAGAATGGGACTGTGTTTAAGAGCAAATTTTGCAATGACTCTGTTCCATCCCACTTTCAGAAATGAACTACATTAGTATTTGGTTAAAAAAAATGTCGAAAGAATAAGAAGTTGTGTAAAAGTAGACTTCCTTCCCTAAGCTATTGAGTTGAGCATTAATGCACATTTTAGTCTTGTCATTTCAAATCTGAAATGTATACTCATAAGTAGACATAAAGGAGTGCATCAATATAGAAATATTTATTTAATCTGAAAAACAACATTAAAAAAAGTCTGTTTTTACAGCAGAGATGAACATGTTTACAGCTTGGTACAAAACAAACAAATAGGTGTGATTAGCTCATGTCTCGATCGACACACTGTACAGAGGTCGTTTGATTTGATGAAGGATAAGAGTTATTCACAATAAGGCGTGTAGCTGACCTGATTGACAGGTGGGCGCGGTGTAACGGTTTGTCAGGAGGTTTAAAACCCGCCTCAGGTCTCAGCCAGTGGGTGTCATCACTCAGGCCATCCGGGGGAGACCTCCCTCACAGCGAGCTGTTGAAGAGAAGCAACCGAAGTCCACCCCAGAAGAACCAACAAATACAGATGTTGTTGAGGCTCAGGTTTCTTCCTCTGTCTCTGCAGCTCTCTGGGCACCTCGACGGACCTGTCACCAATAATCCACACTGTGTCTATAGGAGAAATACAAAGGTGTTCAATTAATGCCTCAGACAAGACAAAATGTACAGTTAACTACATGTGACAGCTCAGGCTGTTTTTTTGTTATTAGCCACATCTGCAGGAATAATATTGAACAAGGTAGCTGCAACTCATCATAATAGATGCCTGTCTTAAACATTATTTTTTCTAATACTTAAAGTTTTTGGTGTGAAGCTGACACTGTCCACAGACTCCATGACTTCACGGGGTTCTATAGAAAACAAATGTCTTATAATAAATACTAAATAATTATTTTTCAATTGTCATGTTCACCTCATCGCTGTTGACATCAGTAAATATAAGACACAGACATTCCTCTTTTTGTCAGAACAGTAACATGAACTGTATGATTTGTAATATTGATTTCTTCTGGATGTCTCATATTTATTTACAGTTTATGGATAAAACTTTGTTAATGTATTTCTCTGCTAACACTGACAAAGTCTAACTGCTCTGACAAATAACTAATAAACATAGTTGTATATTTAACAAAGTGTAGTTTTAAGACTTTAATAAAATATTTGGGTTGAATATAATTAGTTTTAACTGTGTTGTAGAAAAGTTAAATGTTAACTTACTGTTTATAGAGTTTTCTCAGGATGAGCAGGAATAGGGGATGATAGCAGCCTAGCTGTTAGCTATGCTGTGAAGTGGACCGCTAATGTCGAGCTGAATGGGCGGAGTTAAGTCCCGCCGGTTCCGCCTTACTGCTGTTGTTAGGTTGATCCAAAGTTAGGTTGAGACTGCAAATCCAATATGGATGCGGTTGTCGATTGGACTTATTTTCTGCCTATGTAACAGACGGGTCAGGGTTCGTCCAGTAATATTTACAGTCTATTGTACCGCCACGCTGTGGTCCGGGATGTCCGAGTGCAGCCATGTCTCCATGAAGCACATTGTACTGCACTGGCAGTATTCCCACTGGTGCCGAACAAGCGCGTCGAGTTCGTCCGTCTTATTGCCCAAAACCTCCCGTTCCCCATAATCACCGCTGGTACAGAAGGCTTATGCTTTCTCTTCTTAGCTCTCCTCTTAGCTCCATTGGTTCACCCAAGAAGGTGAACCAATGTGCTTGAGAGGTCACTGGTCCGGCCTAGTGTCAAAGTAGAAATATAACACTGTCACAAATATTTACATCTTAAAATACTATTCAATCATTTCAGATGATGTGCATTCAGAATTATATAAAGATAGAATGAGCCACATTACCAGATTCACCCGAGTTATTCTGCGCTGCCAAGAGTTCATCAACACGCTCGTTGGAAATCAGGTTTGTCAGGATCCTAGGCTTGAAGTATGGTGGCCATTTTGTCAACAATCTGCCAGAAACCTCTGCTCCAAACATCATGGAGAAGACCTGGTCAATCTACAAACAAAAAAAAACCAACTTGAGCCCACCCAGAGAAAAGACCATCCAAAAAAAATACTTTGAATAATTTATGCCTGTCCAACTGAATATATACCTCGTTCACTTTGAAATTAATCAAACAAACAGAGGTCATTCTCACCAAACCGGGTATATCCAGGAAAACATCCAAGACTGTTGAGGAGTCTTTGCTGGTCTTGAACCATTGAAACGTTGCCTCTCATCTTCTCTTTGATGATGGATGCGTCGGGTGAATGCTTCAAGAAGGAGATTGCCTCGAAGCATTTATCTCAGTCGCTGGTCAATCAGGAGGAACAATCCCCTCTTGCGCTTTTGACCATTTTGGACTGGAAGTGCTGGTTGAGCATCTCTGGGACTGGACGGTCTTTATTCTCCAGGCTGAGTAGCCACATCCACTCTCCGCATCGTAGTTGTCTTCTTTCTGGTTTTACTATTTTTATCTTCTTTTACTTCTTACTTTTATTTATGCTCTTATCTTAACTCCTCTTATGCTTTAACTTGGTCATTTCTTATCTTAATTTGTCTATTTATGTTTTATATGTATATTTACTTTTTATTATTATTAATATTATTGTTGTTTTTGATAATTGATTCACTTGTTTCTATTTCTTTTACTGCTCTTACCTTCTTATTGCTGTTATCATTTGATTTGCTTTGAGCTCTTTTAGTTTCTTACATCTTTTTAAATCTTTGGTTCCTCTTGGTCTCAGCTCGTGTTGTTGGGTTCTTGTGTTGCCTGGGTTCTTATGATGGTTCTTGTGATGGTCAGGTTATATATGTCTGTTGGGTATCGTGCACTATGGGTTCTTTTCTGTTGAATTGTATTTAATTATTTTGCATTTGTTATGTTCTTGCTGTTGTTTATGTTCTTCTGTGTTTGGTTTAGTTTGCTTTGTTCTTGTTTTTGCTGTTTGTCAAAGCACTTTGTAAACCTGTGTTTTTAAAAAGGTGCTATATAGATAAAGTTATTCTTCTTATTATTATTATTATCATAGTCGTGTTCCTGTAAAAATCCAAAATGAGAAACACAAAGGTTGCAGCACAGGAGACTTACTGAAAAAGATATGATCATCCACATTCATAACTTGTAATGAGCGATCTATTTATAAAACGTACTTATCCATTTTTTTGACAACAGATCTTTTAGGTTGGGAAATGAAGTGATGATGGTGCTGCTGGTATCCTCCTTTAAGAGTAGAAATGTATTTCACAAGCTGTTAAAATGGTTTAAAAGAATAAATATAAATATCAAATATCAAAGAATGTTAAAGTTAATTTCCAAGAATCCATCTCATAAATAATAATAAAAATACATTTATTAATACATCTCAAAGTGCTACAGAGAATAAAAACAGGAAGACAACTGATGAAACTAGAAACACAAGCACAAGGATCTGTTAAAGGGGGGGGGGGTTAGAGCCCTTTTAAAAGCATCCATAGACTGTGGCGCCCTCAGCTGGTCGGGGAGAGCGTTGCACAGACTGGGAGCAGTGGAGAAGGCCTGGGCCAGAGTTCAGTATCCAGTGCAGACTTTTCAGTGGTCTGAACCCTCGTGGTCGTTCAGTGGTCTGAACCCTCGTGGTCGTTCAGTGGTCTGAACCCTCGTGGTCGTCCAGTGGTTATTTTTTGGGTCCTCCTCAGTAGACTGAACATTTCAGGATGGATACTAACTTCCTGTTAGGGGAGAAGGTGACTTTGTTTTGAATCCTGAAGGAAATAGGGAGCCAGTGTAGAGCCTGAAGGATGGGTGTCATGTTTTGTGCTTATCACTGATCAGCGAGGAATACGCAGAGAGAAATGTGAACTAAAAATAAAAATGGAGCCCTGCGTTAGTTCAGGGGGAATATGTTGGTCCTGCCTGCAAGTCACCATCAGCTGATCTGAGATCCGCCCCCAATGTCAACCAATCATGATCAATCAATTAATAAATCAATTTTTATTTGTATATCGTCAACTCATAACAAGTGTTATCTTGATATATTACAAAGACCCGGCCTATCCGTCATGAGCACTTTAGCAAAGCAGCAAAAGTTACAGTGGTAAGAAAAAACTGCCTTATTAAAAGGCAGAAATCTTCAGGCTGGATCACATCCACTCTGCCTCCACCACCCCGACCTCCACCTGACATTACATGCACATTCAGGTTCTGTTCTGCACGTCTCCATGGTGGGAAATAAAAGTTTGCAAAGTACTCTGCGGATCGCCCGAGAATATTATCCTAAGAGAGTGTCCGTGCAACATCTCACATGCAACATGCAAACAACAACGTTTGAACCTGTTCTCAGTGTTTGTTGAACGAGCAACAAGATAACCTTTCTGCTGTGCAGGTGCTTTTTTCTGTAACAACTGTTACACTTGCATGCTTTTAAAATGTTAAGTGTCCTCCTGAGACCTTGGCTCGTCCCTCTCTCTCTCGTTTATCAGCCCAGCTGCTCCCAGTCCTTCCACTTTCTTTTTTCTCTATGTGTGATATTAATGGTCATCATCCCTCCACCCATCCTCTCCCACGTTCTTTCCCTTCTCGTATCTTGGTGTTTTGCTTCTTTTAAACCCAATAAAAACACACATTAGGCCAACAGGTGTATTAGAAAATAAGCTTTGCATTGACTATTTCTAGTTGAAAGCCGATGTTTTCTGCATTTTTCTTCTCTTTTTGAGCAGCTTGTTTGACGTTGGGCTGCACATCGCTCTGTTTAGTCAGTGCAGCTGCTCTTATTACGTTTGTGACTGCTCCTGATTCCTTCGATGTGATGAAATCCTCTGCTGTAGAGTTAGATTTACTCTCCTTTCCCTTCCTCCTGCAAGCAGCTCCAACGGTTCCTTAGCTTCACCAATTTCTACCGAAGGTTCAATCCGAGGGTACAAACCCTTTAACCCTTTCAATTCAAACGTCACAGCGGATCCCAACTTACTGGTTCATATGGCCGCAACAAAACATCAATGTCAAAAAAGTACAGACAGATTCCTGTGAATAGAATTGTCTTATATCCCTTTATAACAACAGTTATACATCTGTTAGTCAATACATACTTATGAATACACATTAATGATGTTGTTAACTTGGATTCCTTTGGCTCAGTTTTACCATTGCACAGGATTAGCATTTCTCTCCTGTGTGAATCATCATATGTCTGGTCAGATGTCCCTTAGAACTAAACCTTTTACCACACTCAGAGCAGCTGAAAGGTTTCTCTCCTGTGTGAATCATCATGTGTTTGTTCAGATTTCCTCTTTGGGTAAAATCTTTACTGCAAAACGAGCAGCTGAAGGGTTTCTCTCCTGTGTGAACTAACATGTGTCTGGTCAGGCTTACTCTATGGTTAAAACTTTTACTGCAAACAGAGCAGCTGAAGAGTTTCTCTCCTGTATGATCTAACATGTGACTGGTCAGAAGATCTTTTCGGTTAAATCTTTTACTGCAAACAGAGCAGCTGAAAGGTTTCTCTCCTGTATGAACTAAGATGTGTCTGGTCAGATGCTGTTTTTGGCTAAAGCTTTTCTCACACTCACAGCAGCTGTAGCATTTCTCTCCAGTGTGAATCATCATGTGTTTGGTCAGAATTCTCTTGGAACTAAACCTTTTACCACAGTGAGAGCAACTGAAGGGTTTCTCTCCTGTATGACCTAAAATGTGTGTAGTCAGATTTACTCTTTTGGTAAACCTTTTACTGCAAACAGAGCAACTGAAGGGTTTTTCTCTATGATTTGCCACGTGATATGTCAGACTAGACTTATGGTTAAATCTTTTACCGCACTCAGAGCAACTGAAGGGTTTCTCTCCAGTATGCATCATCATGTGACTGGTCAGAGATCCTTTTCGGTTAAATCTTTTACCGCACTCCGAGCAGCTGTGTGGTCTCTTACCAGTCTCTAGTTTCTTATTTTTCAAGTTTAATTCTAACAGATGTTCTCCTGTCTCTTGCCAATCATCACTGTCATCAGTCTCAGGTTCATAAGAGTCTTCAGTCTCGACCTCAGTCTCTGGTTGTGAACGTCTCTCTGGATCTGAGTCTCTCTCTGGTTCTGCTCCTCCACAGTCCTCTCCATCAACTCCTGTTTCCATCTGTTCAGTTTGTCTCTGATGAAGCTGTGAGGACTGAGGTTTCTCTTCATCATCTTCACTCTTCACAGAGACAGGAGTGAAGGGGAACTTGGTGGTATCCAGTCCTTGAAGCTGTTCTTCCTCCTGACTGATCCACAGTTCCTCATGTTCTTCTTTAATGTGTTGGGGCTTAGTGTCCTCCTGGTCCAGAATGTGGCTCCACTCCTGCTGCTCAGGTGGAAGCTCGTCTTTACACACCAACAGCTGCTGGACATCTGCAGGACACAGTAAACAAACATTAACGGTACTTAAACTATTAGTACCGTTAAAAACTGTTAGTTTTTAATATTAATAAGGTCAAATGTCAAATGATTTCATTTTCAATGGCTGAAAAGCTTTAGCGGAGCTGCACTTAGCAGTGAATCCCAATAACGCTGTCCGCAGCCGCTTCTCTGACTGCTGTCAAGTGAGCCGGTGTTCACAACGGCACATCAGTTGAGCCCAGGTTTGATTTTTGCTGCGCTGGAAGGTTGACTGGTACCAGATCGCGCTAGTTTTAGTTCTCCTCTGAACTCTATAAAGTTTCAGATTTTTTGCCATCCCTAAATTTTGGTTCTCTGACTGTGTAGTACAACTTTTATACACAGCGAGCATGCTTATTTGATTCACAATTAAGAGATTTTGCACCTAAAGCTGGTTACTGTACACCTAGGGCTTATACTGTTTACATAAGCAACAAGCAGTCTGGTTGTATAGCTCTCAAACTATGCCTCCGCTCACCTCTCTGCTGAACTGTACTGGGTGCAGTCGGCTTACACAAAAAATAACCAAACTTGAGTGCTGGATTTCCAGTCTATCAAATCCATGAGGCGGAATAGCCGCAGAACCTTCCCGCTTCCCAGACCACAACACAACACTCCCCCGGCTCTGTCCTTCTGTCATCATTGAGCCGGCACTGTTAATCATGCAATCCATCGACGAGGAAGACAGGGATTGGGCCAGGCTCTGTGCTAAGCTAAAGTTCAGAACTGTTCCACACCTGCTCCCTTGGAATATGGCGAGGTCGGAACCTGCCCCGTACACCCCCCATCTGGGCCCCTTTCCACGTCTGGGTCCATCTGGTTGTCAAACAAGTTTGAGGTGCTCGGGAAGTTGGAGAAACACCTGTCCACTCACAACCAGGAGCCTCCTGTCGGTCCAGCTCAGCCACCGTCAAAGCCACTTTCGGGAGCGAGTGGAGCCCCAGCCCGTCGGTCTGCAGTTACTGGACACTGTGCTCCGCTACGACACTGATACTCCAGGGAAACCAGCTCCCTGGTCCCAGGTGAGCACCCACATCAACCCACAACCCTTGTTACAGCAGACTCTATCATCAGGAATGTCTGATCTGGATCAGTACTAACATGTTGTGTCCCGGGAGCTACTGTCCATGACATCACTGACATAGCCATAGAGGTACTTGCAAACAAACCTGTTGTTATGATAATGCGTTAGGAGGATTCACTTCAGTGTCTTTAGCGGTAGGCGTGGTTGGTAGGAGGAGAAGCAGGGTCAGTACTGATGACACACCTGAGGGGGGGGTGTGGTGGCTCTGTCTCTGTAATCTTCATTAGCAGCACCTGCGGAGGAGCCGGCAGAAATTGGTTTTGAGTCGAAGAGACGCCACGAGGAAGACGTGAGGACGCAGACAACTGAGAGACTGAACACTTCACGGGTTCTTTTTACACATGAACTAAACTGATATGAAAGAGAAGGCTGGTGGAGGAGATCACATTCACGGAGGCAGGATACACATTCACGTTTACGCAACACATAAGGAGAGGCATTTAGGTTACGGGCTCAGCGGCCTTAGCGTTAAGCGCTAGGATAGCATTTAGCTGTGGGGTTGTGTGTTAGCTCGTAACACCTGTAATCAACAAAGTCATAATCCACGTAAACAGCAGTCTGAACTACTGAAAGCTGACTTTGTCCACTTGTTCAATACACTGAAAAGATCCGTGCGCCAAATTCATGTGTCTGGTCCTTTCCCCTCCCGTGGCCACGGTTGTGGGCGTTTCAGCCGACTGTGGGCGCTGCACACCTGGCTCTCATCTGCATGCGCTGCACATGGTGTCAACTACGTTGACAATTTTAACCTCTTCTGGAACCGAAAGGAGCTGTTCCGGGACGACGGCATTCACCCAAACTAGGGCAAAGCTACTGTCGGGAAACATTTTTAACGGTGTTTCCCACTAACATGTTCCGTTCCCAGGTAATCATAACAATTCACCAACGTCCACTCCCTCTGACCAGTCCCACCACTATTGACATCCTTCTGGTCCTAGCACGAGTGTCATTGGTTCCTCATGCCCGTATACAGCTGATCATGTGGAGCCAGGATTGTGTCACACTCCTACTACATCAAACTACTTGAATCATTTGATTTATGCTTCCACTTAGTACAATCATGAAGAAACACAACATATCATACCACTCATATGCTGATGACACACAGGTATACATTTCACTTGCATATGATGATCTAAGCCCTATTGATAAACTCACAGAGTGTATCTCCTGGATGTTCGAAAACTTTTAAAAACTCAACAGACAAGAATGAATGACTCTTTGTTGGTCCAAAAAACTCAGAGACACATCCATCTACACCTCAAATCCATGTCAATTAAACACAGTGAGCAGGCCAGAAATCTTGGAATTATTTTAGATTACGACCTTAGCTTTGAAAATCACATCTCCAACATTACCAGAACAACATTTTACCATTTAAAGAACATATCAAAACTCAGATCCTTCAGATCCCAAACAGACGCAGAGAAATCAGGTTAGATCACTCTAACGCTCTGTATGCCGGGTTATCCAAACAATCTGTGAAACGACTCCAATTTATTCAAAAGCCAGAGTCCTGACATACACAAGAAAATGTGAACATATTACTCTGGTCCTAAAAACTTTCCATTGGCTCCCCGTACAACACAGAATCACCTTCAAGTTCTCTTATTAGTCCATAAAGCACTTAAGGGTTCGGGTTCCAAGTATATTTCTGCCCTGCTCACAAACTACAACCCGACCCCTCAGGTCATCAAGTGAAGGTCTGTTAGTCATACCAAGAATCAAATCAAAGTCTGGAGAGGGGACCTTTAGTTACTGTGGCCCTTCTATCTGGAACAAACTACCTGCTGACCTGAGGTCCATCACAACTGTCTCTACTTTTAAAGCTAATCTGTTCTCTCAAGCATACGAATAATTAGTCTTTGAGTATGTGTGTGTGTGTGTGTTTTTTGTTTTGTCATGATTGTTGAGATAACCATTTGTCTCTTGTATTCCTGTTTTTATCATCAATGTAGAGCACATTGAGTTCACCTATAATTAAAAGTTCTTTATTAATAAACGTTCTATTCTGTTTATCAGCTCCTTTACGGTAAACAAGACGAGGGTCCTGCAGACCCATGTGACACGACTGAAAGGAGACACTTCAAAATAAAAGCACGAAAAAGGATAGATAGATAGAATGCAATGTGATTTTCCCTGTATTAAATAGCACTTCATCATTGTCTTCATAGGTTACTGAAATTATTTGTAACCCTATCCAGACATTGATTTTATGTGCAAATCAAAACGGGGAAAGTCACATTGCATTCTGTTGTCTGATCCAAGTTTGACCATAGTTTACTTTAAATGTTTACAGTGAAATTTTCCCACATTTATTATTACACTGATGGACCATGTCTAGTATCGCTATCTATGTAGTCTTTTGTCCTGCTTTTATTTTGAAGGGTTTTCCTTTAGTCCAGTGTCACATGGGTCCGCACGACTCGCTTCTTGTTTACTCTGAGTAGTCCTTTATTTCTGCAGCATTGAACTCAACTACTTTAGCTATGTTAGCTAGCATCACTGAGTGTTGCTGTATCTGTACCTAGAGTGTCCACTGTTCCAGTTAGCTGGTTTATAGTGTTCAGGACTTCGTTCATTCCTTCCCTACCTTCCTCTGACCCAGTGTCCTTCTTTTTAGTTGCTGGTGGGTTCTTCGCTGGAGAGAAAGGCTCTTTTCTTTTGGAGCTCTCGGTAGAGACCTCCATCTTAGCATCATCATGGCCGTAAATCTCCGAGCTACTGCGGGCTGAAGAGAGCTTCTTGTTCGTCTTCATGCTGCAATTTCCGGAGCACTGTAAGGTTAAAGCGTCGGTATGATGTATTAGAGATTCATACGATCACATAGAATTGAGGTGGATTTTAAAGTATGTGTAAAATTGGGACAAGCAGACGGAGCTCAGAAAATACGCTGCACACGGTCCGCCATCTTGCCTTCCTCTTCTTCTTCTTCTTTGGATTTTATTGGCAGCTGGCATCCAAAAAGTTGCACTACTGCCATCTGCTGGATTTAATTATTACTCACATTCCTAAATCCTCCTCAATAAACCTGTTCTCAAGAGATATTTAAACAAGCATCTTCAGCATCTCCCTCTTTCACCTCACTCCAAAATACTTTTTACATCTCTTCTTACGAGTCCCTCTCTCTCCATTTCTGACATCATGTTCTGTCTATGTGCTACATACTTTCTACATTTAATAACTACATGTTCAACTGTTTCTGCTTGATTGCATATTTCACAAAGACCAGATGAATGTTTTCCAGTGATATGTAGAGAGCTATTTAAATGACTGTGACTGATTCTTAACCTGGACATTAAGACCTCCTCTCTTCTGTTGCTCCCTCTGTATTTTACTTTATCTATTTCCCTCTGAATTGAGTATAAATGTCTTCCCTTTGTCTGATTGTTCCGATATTGTTGTCATTCCTGTTTGATTTTACTCCATGTGACTCGTTTCCCCTCTGACTGAGATCATTTGATGTTAATATCAATCCTCTCTTTCTTTACAGCTTCCTTCGCCAACCTGTCCACCTTTTCATTTCCTGCTATACCTGAATGTGCTGGAACCCACATGAATATCACATCTGTCCCGTTTAACCACCTGGGAATGTGTAAATATGATTTCATATAATAAATCTTGACGACTGTGAGATGATCCTGATTGAAAACTGTATAAAGCGCTGACTGAATCACTGCATATCAGCACTTTCCTTCCTTTAATTTGCTCAACACATTCTAATACAACTAAAATGGCGTACAACTCTACTGTGTACACGTTCAGGAAATCTGACATTCTCTTCACTACTTCAAAATTGAATTTTGGGATAAATGCAGCTGATCCTGTTGCATTTGTCATCGGGTCTTTAGATCCATCTGTGAATACTTGTACATGATCTCCATATCTCTGTTCTATGTGTTCATAGAATTCACTAACTAAATCAACATTTATTTTTCTTTCCTCTTATCTTTAGTAACTCCAAGTCTACTTCAGCTGTCTCAAGCATCCACATTGGAACTGGTGGCCATAAAACAGCTGGACTGATATCCTTGTCATTCAAGTCTCGCCACTCTATCCCCTATCCATCCAAAACTGGACTTAATTGTTCTCTCTTTTTCCCAGCAGTCCTTTAACACTGATTTTGTTGGGTGACTATCTCCATGTCCTCTCAAGTTCAGCTAACAATTTGCTAATAGCTGTTTCCTCCTTAAACATAGTGGCATCTCTCCTACTTCTACCTGAAGTGGGTTATAACAATTCAATATAACCAGACTCTTCTTCCCAGCCCATACCTCTACTGCTATGTATTCATCTTCATTTCCTAACCCTACTACTCTATATGGCATCCCTATGGCACATCTCCCACCCCCTCTGTCTTTCCTATTTCGCCTGATCGCTACAAAACCATATACTACAAAGTCCAAATTAGGCTTTAGCCTTGTCTGTTGAATACACAAAATATCAGGCCTCTCATTTCTACTCTTGATACATTTCTTAAAATCCTGTCCATTAGCTATCAAACTTCTTGCATTCCATTGTAATATTAAAATGATTAAGATTAACCCACACATGTTACTTCTTGGCTAGATTGTTTACTGAGACTGTCCCAAATTTCCTTCCATTTCAACCCTATCATATCAAGGTGGTGCACTGCTGCTTTAACAACAATTTGAATCCTTTCTGTTTTTGACTTGACATCTGCAGTTGCATGTATCACTCCTGCAATAAAAGTTACCAGATTCTTCTTCTCGCTCCACATCTTTCTTTTTTTAATCTGCTCCTCCTTTCCTGTCATGCCCCTTTCTTCATATGCTTGATTCATGTTCTTTTCCTTTTGTCCATATCTCTTCCCTGCCTCTGCATATGACACCTTTTCTTTTCTTTTGATCTGTTGGATTTCTACCTCACGTTTTTGTGCTTCACATCCCCAATATGCAACACTGTGCTCAACTCCACAACTGCAACACTTTGGTCTGACCCCTTCTCCACACTTCCCATACTCATGATCTCCACCACATCTTGCACATCTCCTCTTCCCTTTACAATCTTTAGGCAAATGTCCAAATTCTTGACACTGAAAACATCTCATTGGTTTCAGTATAAACTCTCTTACACTATACCTTATAAACCCAAAGAAAATGTCTCTGGGATTTTCCTTGGTCTCAAACCAGAACAGTCTCAGTCTCTCTTTTCTCCACTCCTCTCATCATTCTTCTTGCATTTCTGACTGTACTGTTACGTACTTTAAGATGCTCAACTAGCTCTTTCATTGTAACAGTTAGTGGCCCTCCAGCAATCACACCCTTTCCACCTTCATTTCTTTTTTCCCCCACTCTTACTACTTGACTCACCTTTGCTTTCCCCACATGGGTTAACTTTTTTGCTTTTTCAATTTGTCCCTCACTGTGACAACCAATCCACAAATTTCCATCCCCCAAAATTTTAGCAAAATTCACCTCTCGTACCTGCGCTCTAATGACTTTGGTCAGTTTCATTGGATCTGATTTTTTTACACCTCCCTCTCCTTCAAACCTGATCACTACATTTAGTTTTTTTCGCTTCCACTTCGCTATCTTCGCTTATCCCGTCACTCTCTGTCCCTACCTGAGTTTCTTCCTCTTTTGACTGCTTTTTGCCTTCTTACCTCTTGCCTTTTCCCATTCACTTTATATCCCTCCATTTCTCTCTTCCTCACTTAAGCCCATGCTATTGCTCTCAAACTCACTCTCCCTATCCGGCATCAGTGTGGGAATATCATTCCGGACCTATACAGGCCGTCATTCGATAGCCACACACTGCTTTCCCTACTCTACTCTACCTACCTACCTATACTGATCGTTGAAACAGTCTTTCAAAAGATTTAGAGTATCAAAAGTTAGAATTTTCCGCTCTTCCACACTATTCGAGTCCTCTCTCCTTCCTTCCGCTTTTACACAGCCCTGCAATATCCTCTATTTCTTCTTTTGATTTTTATGGCGGTTGGCAAACCAGCTTATTGGCGCATTGCCGCCACCTGCTGAACTGGAGTGTGGAACAGAATTCTGTCAGAGGAAAACAATAATAATACATGATCACACTCACACACATATATATATACAAATTAAACCCACTAAATTCTCTGTTCTTTTCAGGAACTTTCTTAACTGTTTCCACGTTTGGTCTATTTTGGTGTAAAATTTCTCTTCAGTTTCTTAAATGTTTCCCTCAGTCTCTCTCTTTCCCGCTCACACAGCTGACCTATAATACAATGTTGGACTGTTTCTGCTTTGTTGCAGTATGACTAGAATCCAGTTGGATGTTTTCCTCTAACTTGAAGTGTTTTCTTTAATCCTGTGAGTCCTATTCTGAGGCGTGTAATTATGGCTTCCTCTCTTCCACTTTTGAAACTTTTCTTCCATCCCCAACCTTCTTTTGTGCTCCATATAAATGTCTAACAGTTTCGTTGATGTCCCAATATTCTTGCCATGTTTTACTAGTTTCATGATTGTTTCAGCTTCTGCTTTGCTCAATGCAATTTGTAAATCAACTGTTTGTACCTTTAATGTTTGTTTTGCTAGTATATCAGTATTCTCACTACCATCTATGCCAACATGTGCGGGAACCCAAATGAAACTAATGTTCAAGCCCTTATTGTATGATCTGTAAAGGATGTGGTTAACTTCGTATATGATATCTTGTCCACATTTTCCTGTTTTGATACTTGTGAGTTCTGATAAAGTCAACTTCGGTTGAGCTCTCCTCTCTCCTGTCTCTTGTCTCTCTCTCTTGACCACAAGTGGCGTGCCAGGTAGAGTGAGTCGCTCAAGCCCGCCCTCCCTCTCCCTTTCATGTCTCATACTGGTTCCTCGTCCGCATTGGTCAGTCACTGATTCGATTCGTGTACTGAACGCACTGACTGAACAATACACTCGGGGTGATTCACGTAGGAATCACTGACTGACTGATGCCGAGGGAGCGAGAGACTCAGGGTTCCTGTTGTGTCTAACAGAACATAGTGGGATGTAATATCTCTCAGGTGAATAACGACGTAGAGCAAACGGTTGTGAACGATGGCTCCTTTTATTCAGTGTTCCAGCTACAACATGCTTCTGGCACAGGAGACACTCTACAACTGCATATAGCACCACCATACAGTACTTTATCGCCACCTACAGGCGGAACAGATAACACAGATTTCTGGTTTAAACACCACAGCTCCTCCCCTGTAGATAAAAACTCACTTATTTAAATGAACATTTCTCCAAAGAACAAGAAGTCCTCACCAAATTAACTCACAAGTCGTAACACATATACACAAAATGTTATCCCTTAACAACCTTGTGTACAAATCATGTTTGCATGGACATTATCCCGAACCACAGTCCATTATTTATTTCAGTGAGTCCTCTATAAGTCAGAAAAAGACTGGAGTTTCCTCCTGCTGTCTGGCGGCTTGGAGACCCCAACTGGCTTGAAAAGCTGAGGCCCCTCTGGTTTAATTAGGGCCAACCTAGTACGGACCTGTCTTTTCAGCAACAGCTCTGCTGGTGTTTTCTTGGTGGTTGTATGCGGCATGTTCCTGTCACTAAACAAGAAGTTAGCAATACAATGCTGCAATGACATGCCACCAACTGCTCTGTTCTTTGACAAAGACTTCTTGAAGGCTGGGTGATAAGCTGGAGTTTTAATGTGTTTGACTGCATTCAGCCTAAGAAATGACTCAAATTCACCTGAAGTAAACTGAGATCCATTGTCTGTTACATCCTCTTTTGGTAACCCATACGAGGCAAATAGGTTTCTCAAAACCGCCATAGTTTTACTGGCTGTGGTTGTCTGCATGTGCACTATCTCAGGCCAGCGAGCATATGCATCCATAACAACTAGAAACATTTGCTTTTCAACTTCTGCAAAATCAAGGTGTATCCTCTCCCATGGACCTGTAGCCCATTTCCATGT